CTAACTGTTAAAGAACTTGAAAACTTTATCAAATCTATCTACGGATATAATACTTTGCATTTTCAGTAGTACAGCTCTTTGGAATCTTCTAAAGCACATGAAGAAATTAGAGTGTATTAAATTGGATAACCAGGAATGAAAATCGTTCCTATAAGTATTAACAAAAAAACAAGAATCCACATAAATGCAGTCGAATCTTTACCACAAGATTGATAAAATTCCAAATGATACAGTTTATAATATACGTAAGTTATATTAACATTTCACGTTAATTAAAATTTATATCGAATTTTTAAGCCCTACAAGTCAGTTGTATGTTTCAAACCAAAGTAAAATTACATTTAATATTTTTTTAATTAATTTATATTGCAAAACAGATTTATATGAAATTAACGAGGATAAAGAGATATCAAATGTCTTACAAGAAAAGCTTCGACTTCATAACATAACACTTCCAATACCTTTATTAGATGAATATATGAATTTAGTCTGTTAAATTGATAATACATGTATATTGCTTATACTGATTATCCCACATCTGTAATCTTTTTCTGCACTAACACATTTTATATGGATCTTTCCAATTCAAAATTCAAAATTTATTTTCTGGTCGGTGATGCTGAAATTTTTCTTTTATCTTGTTGTAATTATCACAGATATATTTTTATTGCTGTAACTTTATTTTTTTCAAAATGCTTGGATTTCTTTAATTTTTTTTATTATTTTAATCACTCACAATGATATGTTATTAAAGTAATTATTATCGATATTTCACAAGATCATCTTTATCAGAGTTTATTTTTCTTCAAGTATTATCTCAATATTTTCATTGCTGAATTCTACTTTTCATTTTGACTTAACTATGACTTTCTCATTTCGATCTTTTATCTATATTAAATAAGTCTTTCTGTTTAGTTCTTGTTTATTTTAATCTTATTCTTTATCGAATAATTCTTCATTTAATTTCTTCTTAGAGTTATTACTCGATATATCTTTAATACTATAGATAAATTTTACTGAAACTTTATCTTTTTGATTATCACATCTATTTATAGATTAATATTGACATTTATCCTTTCAAGCCAGTTCATTCTAATCAGCATACTAAAGATTTTTGCTTCTGTCACATTTACATACATTGGCTGAAATTATAATTTTATCCATGATAATGGGAAAGTTGTTAATGATTTCTAATATCTACTTGAATTTACTTTTTATATATATTATTCATTCAAATATTCAATGATTATTAAATTCTAATATTGTTCTTTTTTAAAAAGTCTGGAATCATTATACACTCTGAGATATCAATATTAATAATCAAATCAATAAGAGTCTTTCTAATATATATTTCACATCAGACTAATATTGTTCTAACTTTTTGTAATATCATTCCCATTCTCTATATCAGTTTCTTTAATATTGGATATTGCATTCCTTTCACATTTTAATTCTCTAAATGGATAATATTTTATTAGCTAAGTAATAATAATATTAATTTTTATAACAAAATAGATCTTTAATAATGTTATAAAGCATGACTTTGATTGCAAAACAGATAACTTAATCTTTTTTTTCATAATTTTTTTCTGAAGTTTTTTTTTAGATGGTTCTATTAATAAATTTATTTTATTTATTTCTTTATCATTATCTTTCATAATTAGCTTTTTTGCTTTATCTCTAATTTTCATTTGATAATTCTTCATGTTGTATTATTTAATATATTCATATCAGACTGTGCACTTTTGCTTCTTTTTGCTGACCAAATATTTGCATGTGATAAACAAAACATTATTGTTATTTGTAGATTTGTTTTCGATTATAATTTGTAAATTGTTTGTTAGTTCTTGCAATTGGACAAAAAGAATATTGCTAATATCTGCATTTTTATTTTCTAAATTATTATTGATCATTAATTTAAACAAACATTATTTTGAATGATGAAGTGTATATTATTCTGATTCAAATAATTTTTCTTTGCATTATTATGATAATTGTTATTTTATTTTAATTTTTTACAGTTAGCACTGATATATCCATTTTCTCCATAATTATAATATATATTATTCTATTGTTAAAATTTATCTGATTCCAGTTTTGGTTACAACTTTCATTATTTTTCTGATATGATCCAGCCATCTCCATAATCTTTATTCTCTGGACCAACACTTATATTATGATAATTATGTCATTATTAATGATAATTGGATTTGTTTAAAGTTAGATAACAGTGAGTTGGGCTATCAATATCAGCATTTTCAATATTTTGGGTGACTTCAATTATATTTGTCAACATTTTGTCAGCCATTACTTGAACTCATTTTCATATTTCCAGGTGCGTCCTTTCTTATATATATACACACAATATTTGTTAGATATTGGTTCTCTGAATCTACTTTCTTTATGAGTTTGATAAATCTATCAATGTATGCATCGATAGTTACTGTTTGCTATAGCATCTCTAGTTTATTTTGCCATTGATTAACTCGTTTCTGAGTTTAGAATCTCCAAATAAATCGGTAAGTGAAATCATGTTCATCGTGATTGTTATTTCTCCAATCGGTTAACTTGATATTTTGATTCTTTGCTTATTTATTATATCACATAGCCTCTGGTCCTTCCAAGTACCCCCTAATCACTGGATCTTATACCAATCGGTAAGTCTGTTCGCTTGCACTGTGATCTCAAATTCTTTCAGCCATTCGACTGAGTCCTGGTCATTTCCTCAAAACTTCTGAATAGGTATGATTATTTTTTTCATAGATCGTTCGTTCTGATTCATTATTGCTTGCACAAGTTGTTGGATTGTGATGAGCATGTCATTAATATCCACATTTTTATTTTTGTTATCCAGCATTTCATAGTTTTCTTTATTCTCTAATTTTAGATTCTAATGTTCGTATGTCTCGGATCTTTCTTCATTTCAGATAATGATTTGCTTACAGCTTCCTTCGCTATTAGTTCCCATACTCAGTTCCATTTTGCAAGCTACTTGTCGAGGAAATGAAAAGTTATAATGGTGATTTTCTTTGCCATTTATCGTATATTCGCAGAGGGGCACCAAAATGTTGTGTTCCTTTCAATGTTCAGTTAAGAGGAGTTATTCTGTGACAGTTAGGGGGCACCAGATTATCGTATTTATTATAATATTCAGTTGATTTTAAGGAACTTCTGCAATTGATGAAAGTTAGCTGAATTATTTATGGTTGGAGTGTCTCTCTGGTTATTCTGAAGGTTTTCTGTGGTGATTTGTTCACAAATCGGCCTTTTCTCGACGCATTTCCTAATTTTTCCCCAGGTTTCTAAATCATCAATAAAAATGCATAAATTTTTGATCAACTCGGCAAAACAAATCCGGCACAAGAAAATTAAAAAGGCGAATAATGTGAAAAATACAGAAAATGAATGGGCAAACTTGGATTGAAGCACTAATAAAAAATGTCGGGAAGACAGTTTTATATATAATCTTTACTCCAGCTCTAACCCTAACCCTAACCCTAACGATAAAATTAACCTTTAATATCCTCAACCAATCAGAACCTGGGGGCAATTAGTGAATGCTTTCTCGACAAGTAGGAGAAGGGGAGTGTGTGCTTAAGGAAGCAGATATAATAGACTTTTCTTGTGATATGAATCAATTCGTTTAATAAAATACTTATTTACTTATTTTAACAATAATCGATATATTCGTAAGTGTGGTAGGGCTTATTGACACGGCCTATTCAGGAAAAACAATATTAATTTCGACAGGACTTATTGATACGGCCTGTACTAAGAAAACAAATATATCTCAAAAGAAATCGACAGCTTGTTTAGAGTGGAGAACATCCACTACTTGTAATTACTCACAAGATTTGAAGTTTGATCACGGAGCAAAAGAAAATAATAGTGTATTCACAAGTAATATTGTTACGAGTAAGAACTTTGTTATTTTATTTGATTAAAGCACGATCAAAGCATGTCTTCTCAACGACTTGAAGACGTTCTATATACAATTTTGGATTCCTACACTAATCTAAAGTTAACGATTTACATTGATGGTTTCTTTTGAAACGTCCGAGCATCAATTGTTCAATATCTTTCGATTGTCCGGATTATTATCGTCCCCTTCTTGATAATTACTACCGTTCCGTGCATTGATTATCGTTCAATGCTCAAATAATTGTCGGGATCGTCGCATGCATTATATTAAAAGAACGATGGCATGTTCGACTAAATTTGGTTTACAATAGCGATAGAACTTGCACAAGAAACTAATTTTTGGAGGGATTTTCATGTAGGTCGTTTTGGAAAGATGTTCATGCGGAAATTAGGGATCAAAATTAGAGGATTTAATGTTATATCGGTAACAGTACGTACTCCATTATGGATGTCAATTACAAGATATACATCATGACTCCGCTCACCGAAAGGTCGTTCACCTGTTAAACTTCGTACATATCATCCCAAAACTATCAATATCTGCAGCTTGAGTGTATGGGTTTCCATTTAGCAACTCTGGACCCATATAAGGAAGCACTCCATAAATTTCTCCATTAGTTTTATTTAAATTAGCTGGGCGCTAAGTCCAAAATCAACAATGATGGGACAAAATCCTCTTGGTGGATTCTACGCAAATCTATGTTAATATCTTTAATTTTTTTGCAAATTCAGTTTTTTGTAGTTGGAATTAATATATTTGCGAAGATTGCCATTTTTTGCATAAGTCATTACTAACGAGTATTCATTTGTAGCTGGATTTTTAGTTATTCCGTAATAAGAAATAGAACGACGATAATTGCACTTTAGAGTAGCCCGAACCTTTGTTTGAAAAACTTATTTGTTTAAAAAACCAAAAAAGCAACTTGCTTACACTTTAGAAAGTGTTAATTTATAAACTCCGATGTAATTTGCCTCGAATCATGTAATGATTTCAACACAACTTCGCGTTTAGATTCACAATATCTTAATCTATATCCTCTTAATTCAAATGCATCGCGTCCTTTAAATTTATTTTCTTCATGATCCCACAAACTATTAAAGGAATCGTTAAAGAATCGGCTCAAGCAGTGAAAGAATACAGAGAAGCAGTCTCGGTAAATCTAATATCTATCGCCATCTTTTTTTAAACTTCCTTAGTTTTATTATTGAATTTCTTATTTTGATATAAGCAAGGGAAAGGCGCATATCTTTTGAGGAAAATCTTCCCGATGTTTTTCTATGCTCTCTTGGTAACTTATCCCCCGGCCAGATAATAATTATCAGAATTACCTATGTCACTGAACTGAAACATGACTCGGAGTCAGAAAAAATTCGTTTTGTCTTACCAACTGTTGTTTCGCCTCGATACTCACCTGGAGATTTTTCCGAAGATGTGACAAATAGAAAAATAGTGACCGCAGTAATCCAAGTTACGCTAGTAACAAGTATAGAGTCGCCTTCTCATTTGATTTCTACCGAGTTGAATATTAATGGCGATGCTAAAGTCTCGAGAATTAGTTTGTCTGAGGAAATTACTTACTTAGAAAGAGACTTTATTTTAGTGGTTAAAAGCAATGGATTGGATGAACCAAGGTATATATTTTCTTAGATTTCATCGACTTTTCAGAAAATATGTTCTCATTTGGTTTCTTTTTAATTATACAGAGCATTCATTGAGTATAATCCAAAGACAGAAACAAATGCTGTTATGTTGACTTTGGTCCCAAATTTTGCACAAAGTGTGGCAAAAATGAGCGAAATGGTATTTGTGGTTGACAGGTATTATTTAATGTATACTAAATCCTACTATTAGCTATTTAGTAATATGAATTATAATAAATTTTTTGAAATTTAAATTCCATAGGTCAGATTCAATGTCTAGTGGTCCAATTCGTAGGGCATTACAAGCTCTTCAATTGATTCTTCGTTCGCTTCCCGAAAACATTTTTTAATATCGTTTCTTTTGGGAGCAAATTTGATTCCTTGTTTAAAGAAAGTATACGCTATTCAAAAAATACATTTTCAAAAGCTTTTACTGATGTCAAAAATATGGGTGCTGATTGCGGTGGGACAGAAATAAAAGGCGTTCTCGAATGTGTAGTTAAGACTGCTCGTAGTGATATGCCAACCTCTGTTTCTTATTAACGGATGACAAAGTACGGAATGTTGACGAAATAGTCCAACTGATTCAAAAAACTGCCAACAATCTAAAGAGAACTTTCCGACTCTTCTCTCTAGGAATTGGATCCAGAGTCTCGCATCATTTAATCGAATCAATTGCTCGAGCTGTGAAAGGTTATTCACAATTTGTCACCGATGGAGAACATATGGATAAAAAAGTTGTCGGGATGATTAAGAACGCAATTAAAAACGCATTAACCGATTACAAAGTAGAATGGATTGACGAGACGCCAACAGATAGCAAGAAAAGACTATCAATTAGTTCATTTCCTTGGGATTCGTCGAAAAAAAATGAAACCAAATTTCGTCAAGCTCCCAATTCTATTCCCGCCATATATTCGGGCGTGCGTGTGGTAGTTTACGCGATTCTGGCGAAAGGCATTAAGCCTAAAAAAATTATAAATCTTTCAGCACAATCCCTGGATAGTCCGATTAACTTAATGTTAAAGTAGATCCAGTAACTCTTCAGGGATCGAAAATACATATTTTGGCTGCTCAGGATTTGGAAGGAGCATCCAATCTTGTCAAAAAACAAATTATTAGTTTAGGTAAAAATCATTAACTATTTTATTCTAGATATAAATCATACTTATTAACGTTAATATACTTTTCAGGTATTACTTTCAGCCTTGTGTCAGACATACCAGGAAATTTTTAGAAGTTTTTTTATTATGCTAAAGCGAGCACGAACTAAAATCTATGTTTTTTGTTTACTTTCGACATTTTAGTTTTTTAGCAATTAATTCAATTAATGAGAAAACTAATTCTGAAATCGCTAGAAGTGAGACACTTAAGCAAAAAAGAGAAGTTCCAAGACAATCAAACTACATGTATTTTGCTGGTACTCCAAGGACTTTTCATCGCGTTGGTGAGTTTAGAACTTTTTAAAAACTTTTAATCAATTCTCTGATATAATATATTTATTTGTAAAGTAGAAAAAAGTGCAAGAAGTAGTAAAGCAGTAAGTTCTATTGTATTTCCATCTGCGCCGCCATTTCCAGGGGTCTCACACATTCGTCGCCGTTATCAAAACGCACGCTACTATCATCAGAATTTCAAATCAGCTCATATAGGATCAAATTTACAAGCTCAAACGTTACTAGCTCAAAAGCAAGAACTATCACCATCATTTGATATAAAAACACCAACTATCTAATTATACGAATTTCTAAAACTCCAATCATTCGATGGAAAGTTCGTGGCAAAAAAATCTAATTTCTCGGGCTTGTTTTCCGGGAATGATTCCAAGTAAGATGCCGATTTGGTATGGACAACAGCTGTGGCAATGGCTTATTTGGAAATTGTGATGAAGGGGTTTATTGAAGAATGGGAATTATGTTATGAAAAGGCAGAACGCGCATTAACTAATTTAATCGAGAAAAAGGATAAAGTAAGAAATTTAAGAATATTGTAGCGGAAGCTCATGAATGGGTGTAAAAGTGGTTTACAAGTAAATGAAACGGCTCAATAGAAATGTTATATTTCTTATTCTGAAATCAAATAAACCTTTCTTTTTGTATTATTGATATATTTATTTCGCTTGCCTTAAAGAAAAATTTCTGCAATTTAGTGCTATTGTGATAGGTTGGTTCTTTTTATACTAAAGTGTTAGTAGAGCTATCGTTACAATTTCGGTATAATTATGGGAGGGGGTTTAGGTACCAAGATCTACGTTGCACTCGATCCTTATACATGTACAAGTAAATTGTATTACATGCGGACATTTGCGGAAAATTTAATAACGCAAAATTACACTACGTACATGTACATGTATCCAAATTTTCTGGGCGTAAAATGTAACTCGACACCTGATCGCTCGTACGTTTATAGATTTCATGTACATGTACCAAATACAATCATTCTTTTCACAACTTACCGATACATCCAAGTGATCCGATTTAACAAAAATGCTACCATTTGATTTGCCTTGACTAGGTGAATAAAATGATAGTATTTTTGTTCAAATCGGATCACTGGACGTCGAATGTCTATGGACCATTCTCAGAAAAAAGTAGAAGTTAAGGTAAACAATTGGACTAGGAAAAAAATACTTACTACCGATTTTCAAGGCATAATTCGAAGCGAATGGGAGGATCTTGATCAAAGTTTATTCTTTAATCCAACGAATAGTATGTCGGATCGGATTAATAAAGTCACAGATAATGACAGTTACACTATATAATATTAAAAATCGAAATGTCCGTCTATATTATAAATTTTAAATAAATAAAGTAAAATTTGGTGGATTTTTATTATATACCATGACTAAATTCCGGATAATTATGTCGCGAACGATACTTATTGATGCTGATTAAAAATAATTTTAGGAAATAAATATACTATTAAATAAATCATATAACGATAAATTTTCATGTAAAATAAATATTTCTACACTTATATTTAATAAAAAAATATATTTTTTCTGAAAGCTAAAAATGGTTATTAAATTTGAACATCAACTTTTAATTAAATAACCAGTGATCTCGACCAAATACTTTGTCAGGTTGGTGTAGACGGAAGTTCTATAAAGAATCACATCACACATAAATCATTTTTATTTTACAATCAATTTAAAGTTTTAGTTGAAACATTAAACTCAAATCAAAGGAACTCTAAATAATACTCATGGTTGTAATAAATGCTTTCGTTGTCTATATAGCTACTACAAAGAGTGTATAGTAAATGTACTAAATGTCAAAAAATCACAATAGCTATCACTATGAATATAATGAATATCACAAACGAATTTTTAAAGTTGAATTGTCTAGCGAGAATAAAGATATCGCTTGTCTAAGAAAGGAATGCGCAGAAATTGCTGATAAACATTATGAATTTTTTGAATGGATCCCTTTGATGTTGAATATGAGGTTTTGGAAAATTTATATCGATAACGATAAGGCATTATTGCACACGGTTACAAATGACAAAGAAATTGTGTTGAGATTACTACATTTTTCAAAAATATAAACTAAAATTATGGGCTGTGAAAAACTGACTTGCACTTTGCAAATATATTATTTTATATTGATGCTTTCATTGTCGATTTTGGGCTTACCGAACCGGTCCTGCAGTTGTAAAACTTTTCAATCAAGAAAGTTACATCGTACATGTACTTCCTTATATTAGTCCGGTGTTTTATAGTTACGTACGAGATTGGTAGCCATTCGATCTCGTTCAAAAAATCCAAATTTAATTTACATCATCAAAATCTTTACTACAAAATTAATTTCAATTCCAACTGACTCAGGTACTTTTATTAATTCCAAATATAATCACATTGAAATTTAATACATTCGGATACTTATTAATGCTACTGTATCTTATTTATCTGCTAGTCAATTCATCAATATAAATTCGTTTGTGATAATTGAAAATTTCCAGCATTCCTCATACTTTTTGACAATATTCGCATTTACTACAATTTTGAGAATTCGATTCCATCTTTTCTTTGAGTTTGATAAGATATTTTTAAGAATTATGTGTCTAATCGATATGTTAGAGTTTTAATCTAATAATATATCAAATATATATTATTATTAACGCGTTGACGCATCCACATTTTAGTGTAAAATAGGTCCCTTTATCTCTTTTCAAAAAAAAATGAAAATGAAAACCACACCTTACCATATATTGTATACGAATAAGTAATCATATAAAAAAAGAATACAAAAACCATACACCCTATTTGAACACCTACTGACAGTGTATTAAAGAGGTTGATGAATAACGAATATTAGCAGTTGCTGGTTACGCATAGCAGCACATATATAACAATACATATTCTCCATCCCCCAGCGAATATGTGTTGCTATGTGTGTGCTGGAGGATGTGTGTGCTGTTATGTGTATCGTTATTGTCATAGCCAGTAATTGATCCCTGAAGAGATTGAACCTTCATTTCAGAAGAGACTAGTCTCCGAGGAAAAAAAGAGAAGAACAACCTGGGAGGAACTGAATCTTCACTCTAAAGGAGTGTTGTCAAGAACAGTTGTTAATAATTCCTGAGAATTAGTGCCTTAATATTTTTCCTCATATGCCAACTTACAAAAATAAAATATATATTTTTTCATTTAGGCATGTCAAGGAATACGTAGGAATGTGTTATTCGATAATGGATGTTTTTTATTGAATGCTTTTTATTATTATTGAATTATCATGCTTCTTAATATTATCATTATTCTCAATTCTTTAGCAAACTATATCTGAAGCACCAAAATTCCGAAATATGCAAAGCAACAGTACGTGAAGCAACTGCCGTACAAAGTACAGCTTCCCGAAGTAACCACTGTTCGAAGTATAATGATAATATGCGAAGCACAGCAATCCTGGATAGGCTAAATATTTATATTTTTTTCCTTCCTTTATTTTTACTAATAATTTTCCTCTTTTTGCACTTCAAATTCATATAGTGTTCACTTTTTTCTGAAAATACGCAAAACAATAATACGTGAAGCAACTACTATTCAAAGATTGCTTCTTCGCAAGTTTCTTCTCGGTATGGGTTTGGGATCAGTATCATCTTCTCATGGAAATTTCGCTCTGTTGACTCCCATTCTCTCACTTCACTTTGGATTATTATTATTGATCTTGGTAATCTTTTCGTTTAATGTTTAATTTGCTTCTTTATTTTTACTGATAAAATTTTTTTCCTTCCCAAAGCTTGACAATACGCAAAGCTAAAATACACAAAATAACTGTTGTCTGAAGCAAGATTACATGAAGCAATTCGAAGCACAACAACAATACGCGAAGCACAGCAATCCCGGAATAAGTATTTATATTTTTAATTTTTTGCCTTGCTTTTTTATTTTTACTAATAAATTTTTTCCTTTCCGAAGTATGACAATACATAAAGCAAAAAAACTGCTGTCTGAAGTACTACTTCCGAAGTAATCACTGTTTGAAGCACAACGGCAATATACAAAGCAACTACTATTCGAAGTACAACAACAATACGCGAAGCAACTACCATTCGAAGTACAACAACAATACGTGAAGCATAGCCAATTCTGAAATAGACTAAATTTTTTTGTATTATTTTTGCTTAGCTTTTTTTATTACTAATTTATTTTGCAGTTCATCATCTCAAAATACAGTATTCTGAAGTATGACAATACATGAAGCGTATTTTAATTCTTTGGTTTTGTTTTGTCAGGTATATTTTCTTTTTTCTTTTTTAAAAAATAAAAACTCTTTTTTATAGTTTCACTTCAAATTCATTATCGAATAACACATTCCCCATATTCCTTGACATGTGAATATATTTTCTTTCTTAAAAATAAAAATATAAGTATTACTACTACATGTTGAGAACTAGTGTTACTATGTCCGATTTGAAAGATGATATTTAAAGGTGAGTTTTCTATTTTCAGAATTAAAAAATGCACATTATAAACTATAACATATTAATATCTGGAGGTTTTTTAGCATCTGCTTCAATAAAGAACTCAACCAATACGATAACTCCAATTTGTGATAAATAAATAAGTATATTAACTAAATTAGGTGATGATGATATTTTCAGAGCATGAGCGTTTCTAGCAATGAGAGACTCTTTTTTATACATTTTCAACAGTTTCTGTGATTTATATGATTAATAATTATTCTAAATTATACCACTATTTACAAATAATATTAAACAATACTGAAGAAGAAGAAAGATCAAAAAATAAATAAAAGATTACACAAGATGAAAAGAAAATACAAGAGAAAATTAATATAAATATTAGTGATTAAAGATAAGATTACAGTAAAAAGAAAGATTCTAAAGAAAATTTGAATAGCACAAGATAAATCATAAGAGAAGACAATATTAAAAATAGTAATGAGAATAAAAATAAAAATAAAAAATAAAATTAATATGAATATAATTGGATAAATACAATGAAATTCATATTAAGAATGTTCATGTTGGGGATAAAATATAAGATGTACAAATAGCAAAAGATTAATTTGAAAGTAAAAGGTACAAAAGAAAATAAACATTGAGAAAAAAAGTGAAATTAAAAAGTATAGTATGCAAGAATATACGTAGCAGTAGTTTTATGAGTTCGTAATTGACCAATTATATTAGGAAAGTTATTCCTGATAGAAACCCAAGATATCCTTATGCTTGTTAATTTTATCTAAATCTGTTTTGCAATACCAAAGTAGAAGG